CCAATCACACAGCATGCAGACAAGCAGGCCTGTCACATAGCAGCTAGGCCTGTTAGGGGCCTTCTACTGGTGCTGGAGCCTGTTATAAGTTCTTGATGGATTGATCCTTTTATTATTATAAATGTCATTTTTTATCTCTAGTAACAATTTTTGTCTTAAAGTCTATTTTGTCTGATATTAGCATAGTCACTCATCTCTCTTTTGATTACTGTTTGCATGGCAAAACTTTTCCATCCTTCTACTTTCAACCTACTTACATCTTTGAATCTAAAATGAGGCTCTTGTTATGTCCATTCTGCCAATCTCTGGCTTTTAAATGGAGAGTTTAATACATTTAAATTTAATGTAATCACAGATCATATAAAAATTACATTGCCATTGTACTATTTATTTTCAATGTCTTATGTCTATTTTGTTCTTCAATTATTACATTATTGCCATCTTTTGTGTTAAATATGTATTTTCTGGTATACCATTTTAAGTCCCTTGTCATTTCTTTTACTATACATTTTTTAGTTATTTTCTTAGTGGTTGCCCTGGAGACTAGCACTAACATCTCAATTTATAACAATCTGGTTTGGATTAATACCAAATTAATTTCAATAGTATACAAAAACTTTGCTCTTATATATCTCCATTTCTCTGCCCCTCCCCTTTAAGCTAATTGTCACAGATTGCATCTTTATGTACTGTGTGCCCATCAACATTTGGTTTATAATTATTGCTTTATGTAGTTGTCTTTCAAATAAGGTAGAAGATAAAATGGAGTTACAAACAAAAAATACAATTTTCCATCTTTTATATTTACCTATATAGACAACTTTACTGATGTTCTTTATTTCTTCATGTAAGTTTGAATTGCTATCTAGTGTCCTTTCATTTTAGACTGAAGGATTCCTTTTAGTATTTCTTGAGGGCAAGTCCGCAAGTGAGAAATCTCAGTGTTTGCTTATCTGAAAGTGTCTTAATTTCTCTTTCATTTTTGAAGAATAGTTTGGCAGATAAAGAATTCTTGGTTGGCAGGGTTTTTTTAAAAAAATAACTTTAAATATGTTATACTAATTCTTTCTGATCCATATGGTTTCTGATAAGAAATCAGCTGTTAATCTTATTGAGATTCCTTTCATGTAAGTCATCTCTCTGATTTCAAAATTTTCTTCGTCTTTTGGTTGTTTCTTATGGTGTGTCTAGGAGTGAATCTCTTTGAATTTATCCTCCTTGTGCTTGCTTCAGCAGCACATATACTAAAATTGGAATGAATTTATCCTCCTTGGAGTTCACTGAGTTTCTTGGATGTGTAGGTTATTGTTTCCCATCAAATTTTGAAAGTTTTTAGCCATTACTTTTTCAAATATTCTTTCTGCCCCTTTCTCCTCTCTTCTGGGATTCCTATTATGCATATGGTGTAGTGCAGATTTCTAAAGCTCTGTTCATTTTTCTTCATTTCTTTTTGTTTCTATTCCTGAGATGAATAATCTCAATTGCTCTATTTTCAAGTTCATTGATTCTTTCTTCTGCTTGCTCAAGTCTGTCATCAAGTCCCTCTAATAACTTTTTAAATTTCGGTCATTTTTTCCTACTCCAGAGTTTCTATTTGGTTTATTTTTATGCTCTATATCTCTTAATTAATATTCTCTATTTGGCGAGACATTGTTCTCATTCTTTCCTTTAGTTCTTAATAACAATTTTGGGGAGTGGCTCCATAGTATAATGGTTAGCATGTCTGCTTTACATGTAGAAGGTCTTGGATTTGTGCCCCACGTGGAACCACGGACCATACCCCAGGTGCACCAGGCCCCGAGTGCACCGTGCCCCCCGGGTGCGCCAGGGCCCCTGAGTGCACCGGGAATGCCAGGCCCCAGGTGTGCCAGGTCCCGGGTGCGCGCCGCAAGCACGTGGAAGGAGACGCTTCACCTTCAGAGATCCAGTTCTTAAAAAAAGAGAGACAGCAACATCCATAGGTCAGAGATGGAAGTGGGGGAGGTGAATTAAAGAGGGAGGAAAATTAATACCAGTTTTCCTCAGCAGAGAAAGCCACAGTTCTCCACATATGTTTCTCACTTCCTTTTACACTAATACCATACTCACAATACCTCTAACACAGATGTGTAGGGGTTTTCTCCAACATCAAGCAACTCTCTGTGACATCTGCTGGGTGTCCTACAATTTAAGTCAATTCTGACACTATCTACCTGGAGATAGTGTCATATCCAACAGGTCAAGATCAAGAGCTCAATTCCACAAGAACTATTCCCACCCTACTTCAGATGCCAGTTACAAGGAATAGGTCCTCAGGTTACCCACACTTCTGTCTGATTTGGCTACAAATCAGAAGTTCCCATGACCTTCTCCGCAGGTTTGATTAGTTTGCTAGAATTGCTCAGAGAACTCATGGAAACACTTACTTACAGTTACCAGTTTATTAAAGGATATAGTAAAGGGTACAGATGAACAACCAGTTAAAGAGGTCTGAGAGGGTCCTGAGTGTACAGGAGCTTCTGTCCCCATGGAGTTGGGGTATGCTACCCTCCTGATGTGGATGTGTTTGCTGACCTGGAAGCTCTCCAAATACCCCACTATTGGGCAGATAGGTATATTATCCTTCCTACCTGAAGGATAATATAGGACTATAACTTTTAAAAATATTTAAAAGATATTCGATTGGATTCTAGATCTTTCTTTTGGCTTTGTGTGACAATGCAATCACAGTTTATGAGGTCTTTCTTCTGAGTCATGGGAGAGCCAGAAGAGGAAGTAGAGAAGGCATTCAGAGCTATACTTCTCTCTCTCTAGGCCAGTCTCTCCTCTGGAGTCAGAGAGAAGATGTTTGAATCACATTTAACTTTTAAATTAAAAAATAAAGAGGACACTAATTTATATATTGAAATGAGATGGATTTCTGAAAGTGAATGCAAAGTTGCATTATTAAGGGACCTACTCCATAGTGTGAAAGGGAGAGATCTGACTTAGTATACATGAGAATAGTCGGGAAAATGCCACTTCAGGTTTTTGATCCCTAGGAGTTGAGGGTCCTGAAGAAACCATTTACCTTTAGAATAATTCTGGCAGCTGAAAAATCTCTAAGGCTGTGGATAGTGACCCTATGATCGTCCAAGGTGCCAAAAATCTTGATCTGCTTGATAGGTGTTAGAGCAGGCTCCACTGGTTCCTGGTTGTGACATTATCATAAATTAGTAATATATCCTTATTTATAACAACATTTATTAGTTCAGGACAGCCACCCTTCCACTGATTAGGGGAGCAGTGAGAGCCAGGCTGCAGGAGACATTGTTAACTTTATGAAATGTGCAGTACTTTTATTATTCATGTGGTCATTGTGAGAATTAAAACGAGATAAAGCATGCAAAATGCTCAAAAATACTTGTAAATGTATTGGTTATGGATACTCTATAAGTGCCAATTATTTAAAATAGTTTGGAATGTAGAGGTCTAAGTAGATCTGTGGCTGGGATGACAGGGTATTCACTCAAGAGGCTAAAGTAGTGGTTCTCAAAGTGTAGTTGCAGGATCCCTTCTTGGGGATCCCTTCTGGGCTCAAGACAATTTTCATAGCAACACTTAGACATATTTGCCTTTCTCACACTCATTCACTCATGGGTGTACCCTGGAATTTTCCAGAGGCTACACGACATGCGTTGGGGTCGTAGCTCTGATGTCTAATGGAATGTATGCTTTGGTGTTATTGGATCTTAAAATTTTTCTCAGTCTTGGTAAGTGGTTTCCAGAGGCTGGGGATCGGTGGAGGAGTTGCCTACAAAGGGACAGTAGGTAATTTAAACTAGGTGAACTTTATTGTATAAATGATACTTAAAAATTTAAAAACCCAAAAGTTATTTCTTAATTTTAATTTCTAATAGTATAAATATAGTTAGGTATAACCCACGTAAACAAAAGCTCTCAATAATTTTAAAGCATACCAAGGGGTCCTTAGATCAAAAGCTTTGAGAACCTCTGAGTTAAAATATTAATTTCTTACTTAAAGTAGTTGCAATTATTTTCTCTAAAGTTGGGTAAAGTGATTAATAGGGAGGGCAAATTCTCTCTGGCTCTAATGCTTTATAAGTTTTGCTGCCCAATGTGGTAGTAACGAACTACATGTGAGTACTGAGTACGTGAAAAGTGACTCATCCAAATGAAATGTACTTAATATAAAAAAAAGATTGTAAGTTGTATCTCATTAATAATTTTTACATAGAAATGACATAGAAATTTTGGCCATATTGGGTAAATAAAAGACATTGTTAAAATTAATTTCATCTTTCTTTACTTTAATGTGGCTACTAGAAAGTTTTAAATGTGGCTTCATTGTATTTCTATTGAGCAGCATTATTCTGGAGACATGCGGGCTTGACTGTCAATTGTGCTTCCACCAATCACAAGTTGTATGAAGACTTATTACTTCTCTAAACTTCTTGGGTTTCCTGGGATATAAAGTGCGAGTAATGTTAAGGTTGGTGCGAAGACTGAATGTGAATGAAAATGTAGATACGTGCTTAGCAACCACCTAAGTAAACAATAAGTTTGGTGACTGTTGTTAAAGCTTTCGGTTTCTCTGTTGATGCCATCAGAGACGGGCCATATGCTCATTAAAGGCTCTTCCTCTGTGACCTATTTCCACTCTGACCACATTAACAACTAATGCTGTCTGAGGCCTGATCCCGCTTTCCGGTAGGGGCTGCCCTCTTCACACCAAAAATTAAAATGACACAAGGTTCTTCCTGGAAGTGATATATCTATATTTTATGAACGAAGCCCTGGCAAAACCTGAAAACAAAAAGCCCTGTGCCGTAGGGCTTCCCTTGGCAACCGACGCCAGCACCCATTGCTAAGAGGGGCGGGGACTAGGGGGAGAGCAGAGAGAACAACAAGGATGTGGTCCGTCGGCTTCTCCTCACCGGCGGAGGTTGCTTCCGGTCCTCCCAGGAGCCCGTCCATCGGCCAACTGTCCCCCTAGGAACTTGTTCTTTAACCGCGAGTTCCGCCGCCTCAGAAGCCCTAGGAGACTCCGGTCAATTCTCGGTGATAGTGGCGGGGGCTGCGGCGGCGGGGACAGCGGTGGCGGGGGCGGGCCTCCCTCGCGGCCGCAATGCTGAGCTGCCGGGCTCAGGAGGCAGTGAGCGCGGCCGACAGGGCCATTCAGCGCTTTCTGCAAACCGGGGCGGCAGTCAGGTGAGCTTTGCGGGGCGGGGCGGCCAGAGAGGCCCGGACCTGGGTCCACAGCTTTGGCCTGCGGCTTCCTTTTCACGCCCCAGTCAGGGTCCCCAGGGCCGGAGCGAACATTCTGGAGGCTTTTGCGTCCTGCAGGATTGAAAGTCCAGCCCCTGAGGCCGGGGCGAGGGGGGGAGGGAGGGACGACGGGCCTCTAGAGCTTCCAGGTCTTTGGCAACGCCAATTCTGTATGCACTCCCCGGTGCTGCTAGTGGCCCCAATTCTATCAGCGTGCCCCACGCTGCTCTGCCAGGGCCTTCTCTAATCCTGTCATTGTTCCCAGAGCTTCCAGGGACCCTCAGGCTTGTCAAGGCCCAGAATTCTGTCATGCCTCTCGGACCTCTCAGTGCTTTGCAGGCCTTTCAAGACCCCTTAATCCTTTCAGGAAACCCCCAATCCTTATAGGCTTCCAGTCATGTCTGTTCCTGGCCTGCCTGGGTTCCCCAGTCTTGCCATGCTTCTCAATCCTGTAAAGTGCCCTGGGCTTGCTAGCACCATCCCTCTCCTCTCCCCCTCCCCTTATATTGTCAGTACCTCTCTCCCAGTTTTGCCAGGGATTCCCTACTCTGTATGAGTCCCCAATCTTATTAGCGACTCATTATCTTGCAATAGTTAAACCAGTCAGGACCCCTTTATCTGCTAAAACTCCCAGTCCTGCTAAGGTCCTCCATTCCTCCTAGTGTCCCCCAATAGTATTGTCCCTAGTCCTGTCAGAGCCCCTATTTCTCTCCTCTTATGCACCCTCCCATGGGCTTCAGGCTTCAGAGCTGGCCACTGCACCTCCATTATTGTCCCTAAATGACTGAGACCTGTTGTTCAGGTCAGCTTCCTTCCTTTGGAACTGGAGCAAGTCTAGGGCTTATTATCCCAGGGCTGGAAGCCATCAGTGGCTGTCCTGTCCTGTGCCCCCATTCTGTAGAGGGGAAATGGGCCTTGAGACAGCCTTGCCAATGGTCCTACAACTACCTGATGGGAGAGCTGCGGGGAGAAGTCAGATCTTTTCACTCCCAAGCCCCACTACTCTCCTCATGTCATTTTGCAGAGGAGTGGCATTTCCAGAGTTACCACTTGCTCTTGGATTTTTTTGTCCATGCCTTGCTAGGAACATGGGAAAGCCCTTTCCCTCAACCCTTTGACACTCTGTTCTTTAGTTTTCTTCATAAGCTTTGTGGTTTTAAGCTCAGACTTGGCAGCTTGACAGGCAAAAGTTCACATTAATGCTACTTCATGCACTTTGACCAAATTGGCTACATCTTGAGAGCTTGTTTGGAGGTTCTAGCAGGGGAGTGCAGCTACTCATATACACTTGATGAAGAACGGTCCTCTCCTCTATGGGAGAAGGTTCTCCTTTTAGACCGAGTGCGCAGCTTCAGGAGGGATGCACGTGGAGCAGTGAGGGAAGGAGAAGACACTTGCCTAGCCAGCCAGATCAGTTGAATCAACTCTGGTGATCAGTGGGGTGACAGATGTCTCACATCCAAGTTGGCTACATCTTTTAGTTTCCTTATTTATAAAAGTGGAGATGATAATGGAACCTACTTCCATGGGATTGTTTTGAGAATGAGCTAAGCTTATCACAGTGCCTGACATAGAGTATGCACCCTGAAATATTAGTGTTTGATTAGGGGATTTGAGAGCATATATAGAGTGCTTTAGCCTTTCAGTGATGGCCCTTTTTAACCTTTCCAGGCACTTTTGTGACTACACCTGTTGTGTAAAAGCACAGTGATGCATTAAGAAACTTCAAGTGTAACTTTCATGAGATTATAATACTTAATAATCATAGTAGCTAACATTTACTAAGCTCTTACTATGCACCCTATGCATTAGCGCTTATTTAATCCTCACAACAACCCTGTGAGGTAGGTCTCATGATTGTCCATTGTACAGATGAGGAAGCTGAGGTTTAGAGAGTAAAATGATGTCCTAGGGAATAGTGGAGCCAAGATTGAACCAGATTAATGTGATTCCACTTTTTTAACCAAGTGCTGTGCACTGTTGACTCTTGGGGGAACATAGGTTTATTTGAAATTCAGTTATCAATTTTGTATCATATCAATTATGACTCTAGGAAAATGTTCATAGTTGTAAGGTAGAGTTCCTAGTATTGCCAGTGACTCTTCACTAGTTAATGTTGACTGAGCTATGATCAAAACAATATTTACATGATTCGAATATTGAGATATGAATACATTACATGCACATGTATATACACATATCTAACACATATGTAGGTATATATTGCACATAGATACACATGTGGTTTACCTTATTCAGTGGAAATACATAACTTTGTGCAAACACAGTGTTTTAAATTGCTGGTGAAATTTCATTAGTAGTAAAAAACTTCAGTGTTCAAGTCAAATCTCAAATTAAGAATCTTTAATTTCATAAATACTATAAGATCTTTTAATACTATTGTATGTCCCCTCCCCACTTAATAATCTAAAAGATAATTCATTGCTGTATGTTTTTCTCCAGTACCCAGTCATTCAGCAAATATTAGAGAACCTACTATGTGCCAGACATGATCTAGACATTTGGGATATGTCAGTGAGTAAAATAGTTGAAGATACCTGCCCTCGGGGACTTTGCATTCCAGTTGAGTGAAGCAGACAATAAACTAGTGAATAAGTGAAATGTTAGAAGGTGGTAAGTACCATGGTAAAAAGAAAAAGTAGAAACAGGTAAAAGGGACCAGGAATGCAGGTTCTAATAGTTTGTTAGAAGTGAAGGGAAAGTGAAGAGTGAGCCAAGCAGTGATCTGGGGAAAGAGCATACCACACAGAGTGGGCAACAGTGGAAAAGATCGTGGCTGGGGTGGCAGCCAGTGTGGCGGCCAAGTAAGAGGCGGAGTACTTGGCTTCTTCTCCGGGTGAGATGGGACTTTTGGAAAGTTGTGCTGTAACTTAGGTTTTAAATCCTAATGTCTAAATGTGCTGATTTTCAAGACATAATCCTATATATCTTACTGAGTATTATTTTAACTCGAAAATTAGGTATTTGGCGGGCCAGTGGATTATTTTGATAATGTTATTTCTATATACCTAGATCTCTATATATATTTTCTGTGTTTGTGATAATGGAAGACGGTAAACTTATTTTCTTTTTTAGATATAAAGTCATGAAGAACTGGGGTGTTATAGGTGGAATTGCCGCTGCTCTTGCAGCCGGAATATATGTTATTTGGGGTCCCATTACAGAAAGAAAGAAGCGTAGGAAAGGTAAGAATGAGGCATCGTATTATGGTCTGTAGACTTGACCCAAACTGTTATTACCCAAAAACAGTACAAAAAGGGGAGGAGAGGGCATTTTTGGTCTTCTTGTATCTTCAGTTTTGGGACTGTATTTCTTTTAAACAGAAGTTGATTTTAATGACTTCATTATTTTCTATCCTACAGTAAAAAGATTTATATTTCATCCTCTCTAAAAAGTCTTTAGTTTGAGACATGCTTTATAATGAAAATTTCAAGTGGTATAATTGTCTAAGTGTTCTCATTAATATGGCAATTGTGTTTTTCATTAGTACAACAGACCAATTGTGTAATGCATTTGTGGTTTCACTGACTAGCTGCTAGTCACTAGAAAATGTTTAAAGTTAGTTTCTTCATTAATGCAACATCCATTTTCTTATTTTTTAAAATGCCCCCTTTTCTAAATGTTGCTCTACTTATATTGATTAAAAGTCATCAAAAAAAGGGGGGGAGGGGAATAAATGTAGCAAAATGTTGATCATTGTTAAATCTAGGAATGGTTATAATTAGGATTTATTATATATCCTCTCACATGTTTGAGAACTTTCATAATAAAAAGTTTTTTAAAATTTCAGCAGAAGAGGGAAGTATTTTGTTGATCTCTTTGCAGAAAGACTGATTAGAATTGGTATAGTGGAGTCTTTCCCACTGATTATAAGAACAAAATCATTGTCCTGGGGAGCAACAACAGAATAATTGTTTTCTTCTATTCTGAGAAACATTGCTTTCTTATCAAAGGAGGGAGGGAAAAATAGAGAGAGAGAATGAGGGAAGGAAAGAGAGAGATGTTACTAAATGTTTTTGTACATTCATTGCAAACCAAACTGTGCCAGACATCATGGTGGGTTTCAAAAGTAACACAGGATGGGGACTTGTCCTTTTATCACTAGAGTTTCCTGAAGGAGCAGTACTAAGACTGGGCCTCAGCATGAACAGAGTACCTGGCCTTCCGTGGATAAGGACTTTCTCACATTGAGATTTCAAATTCAAAGCCACAGTACAGAAATTCCGGGTCACCAAAGGGAAAGAAAAAAAGAGTTGGTCGAATATGATGTGCTGTTCTCTTCTCTGCACCATCCCATCCTACCATCCCCACTTTTTCTAGGGCTCGTGCCTGGCCTTGTCAACTTGGGGAACACCTGCTTCATGAACTCCCTGCTGCAAGGCTTGTCTGCCTGCCCTGCTTTCATCAAGTGGCTGGAAGAGTTCACCACCCAGTACACCAAGGATCAGAAGGAGCCCCCCCCACACCAGTATTTATCCTTAACACTTTTGCATCTCCTGAAAGGTATCTTGCTGGGAATTTAAAGGGGATTCTGTGCATTTTCTAAGCAGCAGCCCAGATGACAGCCAAAGGATAATAGCCTTGGTTTAGAAAAAGATTATACAGATCATTACGGAAAAATAAAAGCACTAATAGATACAAACAGCAATTTTTTAAACTCAAAGATATAACCATCTATTTTACAAATTGTCAGTTTAGTAACAGCTTTTTAGGGAAGAAGAAAATCCACTGCAACATAACCATTTTGATTATAAGAATACTCTGTTTTCAAAAACAAAATTTTTTTTTTTATTAAAAGTATCTCAGCCTAGGAAGTAAGCTAAGTAGCAAGATAAATAATACAAATTGTATTGCAGTAGATACAAAGTATTTAACAAACACTCAAATATTCAACTTGACCATCATCAAAGAAATATAAATAAAATAATAGTGAGGTACCACGTTTTTAATTGTTAGCGAAGGTTGAAAAACAGATCGACACCCCTGATTAGCTGTTGGACGACATGTTCTTACACACTAGTGTGGGTGTAACCGGGATAGCAGTTCGGAACTACACAGTAATAGCTTGCCAAGGGTTCAGTGCCATTTGACCTACTGTAAAGCACACTAGTAAAGTGTGCCTGGGAGTCTGTCTTAATGGAAACAGAAAAGTGGACTGTGCTTTACACTAGACTGAAGTGGAGTTCTAAGAACACACAAGTTTAGGAATGTCTGGATACTGGCCCTGAGCTTAGAGAGTCACAGTATACATGGAATTTTAAGAAGTCATCAATCTAACTTCCTTTTTAAACCACTATTTTTGACTATAGAATTGGTTCCCGCACCCCCCTCTGCCCCCCCCAACATTTGTTAACATCCTGAGGACATTCCACAGAACACAATTTGGGAAATGCTGCCATAGTAGAAACATCTCCAACACCTAGTTATAATGGAAAAGGAATGAAAGAATGTGGTTGTCCAACAGTGGACTGATTAAGCAATCAGTGGAATAGTATACAGCCATTAAGAACATCTTTGTGAAGTTTTTTTATTTTTATTTTTATTTTTATTTTTAAATTGGGGAGAAGGCATAGGTTATTATAATAAGTTTAAAAGAGCAGGATACAAAATATGATATAATTTGACTTCAGTGAAGGAAAAAATTCTACAGATAAAGATTGGACAGAAAAAGACCAAAATGTTAGCCATGGCCATTTTGATATTGTGCAGTTGATAGCTTGGAAACATTTAAAAAAACTACTAAAACTTTCAACAGTAAGCATATATTATTCTCATAGAAAAAGTTGGATTTAAAAATCCTTGGCTAATTATTGCTTCACTGAGGTATTTTCCCATGTGATCTCAGCTTGACACAGAAATCTTTATGAAGCTAGTTCCCCTGTCAGGCAATTTGAAAATAATTTACTGCCCTGTTGAAAAAATACCATTGCAAAGACTGTGGGAAAAGCTGAAATGTTTGCATAGCTGTTATGACACAGGTTTAAGAGTTGTCCTAACTATGCCCGCAGGCCTTCCCTCTCTGACACACGTCACCCAGTGCTGGGAACTGGAGCCATCCATGATCTGCTGCTCCTAGAATATGTGCTCCCTTCTTCACTTCTGCTTTCAGTGTCTTTTGTTTTATTTTATTTATTTTTCAGTGTTTTATTTTGACTTTTAGAAATAATTTTTTGTTATATAAAGTAGTTCATTAATAAATTCTGCTAGTCAAAAATTAAGACATTACAGATAAGGCTAAAGTCCCATTTATTACGACCCCAATCCTGTTCCCCTCCTTCCTTCCCCAAAGTAAAATATAAGTGTATCTTTCCAGACCATTTTCTGAGTACCATAGGAATTATATATTGTTTTGTTTATTCTTTGTATAACCAAATAACAATATGCTGTAGAGGAATGTTCATTTTGGTACATATAACCTCTACCTCGTTCACTTTTTTTTTTGGCACGTTTATTGACCTTATATGTTATCTTCTGTGAATTACTTGCTCGTATCCTTTGCCCATTTAAAGAATCATCCATAACATAACATTTATCATCTTAACCAATTTTAAATATACAACTCTGTAGCATTAAATACATTTACTTTGTTGCGCAGCCATAACCACTGTTCATCTCTAGAATTTTTTGTCATCTCATAATGAAACTCTATATCCAATAAACAACTCCCCGTCCTCTGCTACCCCCAGACCATGGTAACCACTATTCTTTCTATCTCTGTGAATTTGGCTTATATACCTCATTTAAATGGAATCATAGAATATTTATCTTAGCATAATGTTGTCAAGGTTCATCCACCTTCTAGCATGTGTCAGAGTTTCATTCCTTTTTAAGGCTGAATATGAATAATATTTGATTACGTATATATACTACATTTTATCTGTTCATAAGTCAATGAACATTTGGGTTGTTTTCACCTTTTGGCTATTGTAAACAATGCTGCTATGAACATTGTTGTACAAATTTCTATTCAAGTCCCTGCATTTAATTGTTTTTGGTATATACTCAGAAGTGGAATTGCTGGATCAAATGGTAATTCTGTTCAATTTTATGAGGAGCCGCCACTGTTTTCTGTAGTGGCATTACCATTTTACATTACCACCAGCAGTGCACAAAGGGTTTCAATTCTCTACATTCTTACCAACACTTGTCTTTTTGATAACAGCCATTCTAATGGGTGTGAAGTGGTATATTGTGGTTTTGAATTGCATTTCCCTAGTGATAAGTGATATTAAGTATCTTTTCATGTGTTCATTAGTCATTAGTATGTCTTTTCTTTTTTGAGAAGTTCTAAGTCCTTTGTTCATTTTTTTCATACAAAGTGTTTATTTTTTATTGGACTATATTTGACATGCAACATTATGTAAATTTAAGGTGTACAACATGTGAATTTGATAAATTTATATGTGTAATATGATTGCCATTGTAGTGATAACGAATACCTCTATCGTGTAGCATAATTATCATTTCTTTTTAGTAGTTGGGATAATTAAGGTCTAGTCTCTTAGCCAGTTTGATTATAATATGATGTTGTTGTCTATAGGCACTGTACTGGGCATTAGAACTCTAGGGCTTATTTATTACTCATTGTAAGTTTGTACTCTTAAACAACATCTGTTCTACCCCCACTCCCCAGCCCCTGGTAATCACCGTTTTACCTGTTTTTCTGAATTTGGCTTTTTTAGATTCCACTTATGAGTGATAGCATCCAGTATTTGTCTTTCTCTGTCAGAATTATCTCACTTAGCATAATCTCTGTCACATAATAAGTGCTCGAACAATAATAGCTATACTAAAGATGCAGATTCTCGGACTTAATGGATTAGAATCTTTGGGGGCTTATCCTAGGAACAGACATTTTAATAAGTAACTTCCCTTCCTCCAGGTTATTCTGATCCTCACTAAAATTTGAGAACCATTGGTTTCCCTAGAAAACTCTTCCCTCCCTTGTCCACCTGGTGAACATTTTAAAGACTCCCCTCAAATGCTACCTCCTGTATGAAACCTTCCTAGATCAGACCCCTACATCCCTCCTTTGCCCACCTCCCCCTGACCATGCATAGACCTCAACCACAGCATCTGTTACCTTTTTAAAAAATAATTTTTAAATTACATTTGAAATATATTAGTTTCAGGTGTACAACATGGTGATTAGACATTATATAACTTACAAAGTGATCACCCTAATAAATCTAGTGCCCACCTAGTACCCTTTGTTCATTTTTGAACTGTCTGTATTTTTGTTGCTGAGTTTCAGGAGTTCTTTATGTATGCTGGATATCAGTCCCTTATCAGATATGTGATTTGCCAGCCTTATTCATGTTTACAGTTGAGACACCTGTTTACAGTTTAACCATTTGCTTCCAGTGCCTTGTCTTGATAAACAGGCTGTAGTGAACACCTTGTACATGTCCGACATGTACATCAACACATATTTCCCTGGGGTGGATCCTGAGAAAGCGAAATTGCTGGATTGTAGGATATGAAAATTAGTAGACATTGCCAAATGGCCCCACTGCGTTTTAGGCAATATTAGCCTGATGGGGACATTAAAATTTTCCTTGGATGGAAAGAAGCTAACAAAAGGGCTGCTCAGTGGGTGTAGGAGGAAGAAGGAAGGTACAGTTCCTTTCCTAATGTGCTCCCTTTGTTGTGGAGGGTAAAGGTCAGACCTCGCTGTATATTCGCTCTGTAAGACAGGCCTCAGGACTTCTTGGAGCTGGCTGCCAAGGCTGCTGTTTCTCCACAGGTCACCACTCACAAAATTACTGGCCTCGTTCAGACAAGGATGTGGTGGGTGGCAGTATTCAGAACCTTCAGGGTCAGAGCCTGAAGTATTCAAAGGAATCTTTCAGGTTCACTGCTACAAGTCAAAGAGAAGAAACAGGCTGGCTTAGTTTATCTGGGGGGTTGGAACTCCCAGAAACTGTACTGAGATGACAGGTCCCTATATTTTTATCTCCCATACTCTGGTCCAGTGTACTACACTGTGAGATAGAGGATGGTCAAGATCAGGAATCAGCAAACTATGGTCCATTGGCCAAATTTAGCCCATCGCCTGTTTCTGTGAAGTTTTATTGAAACACAGCCATGCCCTTTTGTTTAGTATTGTCTGTGGCTGCTTTTTTGTTACAATGGCAGAATTGAGTAGTTGCTAAAGAGACCCAGGAAGCCTAAAATGTTTACCAACCCCCGATCCAGATGTAATTATAAATTCATAAGCCCATCAAACTTTTATTTTTATTAGGCCCGATTTTACTTACGATTGAAACATAACTATTCAGGCTGCCGCATGTACATTGACGTTTTGCAGTGATAACCAGAAACTTATGCAGACAAATAGAAGTGAAGGCCTTATGGCCGCAGGAGAGAGTCCTGTGGAGAGTAGTTAAGCTATGTGTGTAGAATTGGACTAGATGAGTGTTAAGGGTCCTCCCACCCCTGAGATTGTGAGTTAAAGTCATTTTATTCAATAAGAATCTTACAACAATAAATTTATATTGATGGTAATTCACACAACTGAAGATCAGTTACCTCATTTAAATGCTGCAGCCTTATGAAAAATTATATTCATTCAACAAAGTGCCTCATAGTGTACTAGGTAAGCATTGGGTAAGGTTACAAAGAACGATGAAAGAGCTAGAATTACAAGGTGAATTTTATAGTTCTTAAATTCTTAATTAGCTTGAATATGTTGTATGGTGCTGGAAAATTTAATAATTGTGTCACCTTTTTTGTTTCCAGCTTTATCCTGCCAAGAAGTAACCGATGATGAGGTCTTGGATGCAAGCTGCTTGTTAGATGTCTTAAGAATGTACAGATGGCAGATTTCTTCATTTGAAGAACAGGTGAATACAACATTCAAAACAGGTTTATTTGGAAATCCTTCCCACTAATGAGTTGGGGTCTGAGCTTGCAGTGATGGCTAAAAAACACCTGCATTGTTGCAGAATAAATGCCAGTATTGACCTTGCAGTTGCCTGGCCTTAGTATACATTTCTGTAACATTTTAGGCAGCCTTCATGTTCTGGGCTAGATTATGAGCTTTGTTCCTGCTCTCATGATCAGAGGAGAAATATAGTTCTTTTTCACCCGAGGGATCTAAAGTTAGCAGGATAGAGCATAACCACAGGTGCCAGAAAGCAAAAATCTTTTTAATTCTTGAATGACTTTGTACTTCAGTGGAGTATAGGGACACCTAAGTCCTTTAGAGAGTGGCAGGTGGCTTCACCTTAGAGGCTCAGAGGTTCAGGTGAGACCCTTTTTTGTACAACACCCTCATTAAAAAAAAAAATCAGCTTTCAGAGGCTGGCTTAAAGTTGCCTCAAACAGGAAGCAGCTGTCATATGCATCCTCAGGGCCTTGTTCGAGCCACTTCCACCCCCTTTCCCACAACTACAGCTTCACTGTTTTCTTTGGTTCTGGCCACCCTCCTCCTTCTCCTCCCCAGACCACTATTACCACTGGCAAGTCTGAGGCCAAGGCTGAGAGAGTGAGGTTCTAAGGACAAGAAATTTAGTTTCCAGTGGTACATCCTCACTAGCCAAATTTCCAGGATGGCCTTGTCCAGTTTTGTGTTGGCTACTTCTGCCGCCACCATCCAGACACTGGACCAGAGAAATGGGAGATGGCCTTTCAGCTCCCATAACTGTGGGGCTAAAGTGAAAAGCATTTGAAAGCTCTGGAAAGTGAGGTGAGAAGGCTGTCTAGCTCCCCTTATTTATAAAGATTATCTCTGTTTCCACTTTAATTTGAAGACATATATGCATTTTTTTAAACATGACATCGATGATATCTATACTTTCTTACAATGCTTCTCAATCTATTGTATGTTGAAATGTTTTTCCATTTAGAAAATACTTTTTAAATCCTCCTATAACTGGAATTATTTAGCTGCATTTTTCATTTTCCTGAACTAAGAGTGACTGAATTTAGCCACCAAAAACATAAGATTCTTTTTCTAAGTCCTGCTCTTCTCTTGAGGATTCACTCAAGTCCCAGTTACTCCTGTGATGTATTTCCAACATCTTCAGCCCACAGTGGTCACTGAGCCAGGTAGTGCTGTGCTGTGCGTGGAAAAGAAATAAGGATATCTGTCTTCCTCTTTGAAGGCGTCCAGAGCACTAGCACAGAGCTTTGTCCACATCTATGTTATTATTAAGTCAATCGACAGCAGACTTCCACTATCAACTACTTTTCAGTGTCTTCCTGTAGAGCTGTGGAAGATGCATTGGGCTAAGCACTCACTGCATGTGAATTATATGATTTAATCATCACAACAACCCTGTAAGGAGTTTCTGTTATTATTCCCATTTTGCAGATGAGAACGCTGAGGTCCAGAGAAACGAAGTGATTTGCCCAAAGTCACGTAGCTATTTAAGTGGCAGAGCCAGATTTTGGACCAGTCTTGTGCTGAAATATACAGTTAAGCTCCGCCCTCTTCTGTAGTATAATCTTTTTCTCAAGGCCAAATAGTTATGTGGCTGACTATGACATAATAGGTTTTGGATCTGACTCTATCTGACTCTATCCTGTCTTGGGATTTTTCTCCCTGGTAAACTCCTGGTCATTGCTTCAAGGGCTGGTTCAGATGTCTGCTTTTGAAGGCTCCCTGAGCCTCCCAGGAAGAGCTGATTCTCAGTCTCCTCTGGCTCACTGGTCAGAACAGGGCAATAGCATTGCACTGCTGGATGATAGCTAGGCTGCCACATCTATGCAAGGATTGCAAGTCCTTGGAGGGCAAGAGCCTTGCCTTATTTATCTTTGAATCTCTGTCACTGTCTTGCTAACTACTGTTCCTAGCCTCAGGGATGGGGGGGGGCGTTCATTTATACATGCAGCAAAGATTTAGTGAATGTGTGCCTCTGGCAGGGCGTGGTGAGGGCCTGGGGTTATAGTAGCAAACCTGACTTACTCAAGGTTCCTGCTGTCATAGCTCACACTCTAGTGGAGTTGAAGGCTGAAGACATTAAACAGATAATTTCAAAGTGTGCTAATAGTAAAATAAGCATGATGATGTGACAGAGTGTGAATGTGGGGGGCCTGGGAGCTGGGATCAGAGAAAAGCAGTGGGAGACCACTTTAGATGGGCGAGGCTTTTCTGAAGACTTGGGTTTTTTGCTGAGATCTAAAATCTAAAATGAAGTGAGGCCTGTGAAAGTCTGGGTGCAGAGTGTTCCAGACAGGAACAAGCCAGGCGAAAGCCTTGAGACAGTGATGAGGACACAGTGTTTGGAGGATAATGAGAAGGCCAGCATGGCTAGGGTCAGTGTTGGGGAGAACAGTAGAGGAGAGGGGGTCGCAGACATTGTCAGGGAGCAGACTGGGCAAGGCCTAGGAGGCTGTAGACAGGAGTTGGGCTTCTACTTTGTGTGTAGTTGCGGAGCCACTAGAGCAGTGGTCGCCAACCTTTTTGGCACCAGGGACCGGTGCTCCTATGAGAGTTTAATGCCTGATGATCTGAGGTGGAGCTGAGGCAGTGATGCTAGCACTGGGGAGCAGCTGCAAATACAAATGAAGCTTTGCTAGCTTGCTGCTCACCTCCTGCTATACGGCCTGGTTCCTAACAGGCCATGGACTGGTACTCGTCCGCAGTCTGGGTGTTGGGGACCCCTGCACTAGAGGCTTTGAATAGGGATCCAGTTTTTGTTTGAATAGTGTTGTGGCGCAATCAATTCTAAGACCCACGGAGCCAATCGAGATGAATTATGAGCCTTTGTTAGCCGGCCAGCGATTGACTCTCTACCACACAGTTAGCCGGCCAGCGATTGACTCTCTACCACGCAGGGGTTCGAGGAGATTAGCCTCGAGCTCCCAAAAGAGGCAGTTTATAAAGCCTAGCCACACCCTGGTTAACATCAGACAAGCAAGCAGATTACAGAAGAGTTTATAAAGCCTAGCCACACCCTAGTTAACATCAGACAAGCAGGCAGATTACAGAAGGGAAGTCGGCCGTTAGCATATCTTTGCCCAGAACCACACCCTTAACAATGGGACCACCCTGGTCACTGTGTACAGGAGAGAATGAATGTAGGAGGCCAAGAGGGAAGCAGGGAGGAAAGTCGGGAGGCTGTTACTGCAGACATCCAGGCCAGGGATGGCATGGCTCAGATTGGGGTTGGGGCAGGTGAGATGGGGAGTCCTCCAGAGATTAAGGGTACATTTTGGAAGGAGAGGCTACAGGACAGGACTGCTGCTGAATTGGCTAGGGATGGGGTTAAGTCAGGGAGGGTTGGTGAAGGAGGGTCTCCCTGAGGAGCTGCCATTTCATTGGAGACAGGAAGGATAAGAAGGAAGCAGCCCACTGAAGAGCTGGGTGGAGCTCCTCAGGCGAGAGTGCGTAAAAGACAGGCCCTGGGAGGGGAATCAGCTGGGCGCATTCAAGGAACCAAAAGAGGCCAGGGGAACTAGACCTTTGGTGGTGAGTATGCTGTAGTGTATGCAAGTAGCGAAGTATAATGTTGCACACCTGAAATTCATAACGTTATAAACCGATGTTACCTCGACTTAAAAATAAAACAGAGGGCTAGGGCATAGTGAGGGAGAATTCTAGGGGCTGGATCATATTAGACTTTGGAGACCAGCTAAGATGGCGGGGCGGGGTTTACTGAGCAGTGAAAGCCTTCGGAAGGTTGAAAGTGGAAGAGTAAATAAAGTCATTTGCCTTTGAAAAGATCACTCTGGTGACTTTGTGGAGGGACACTAAGAGCAGAAGCCTAGAGCCCAGTGAGGATGAGTTTCATCAGAGTTCAGGGAAGGAGAGACCTACCCATCCCAGAAGAGTGGTGGCTTTGGCTTTTTGGGAGAGGGATGTTTGCGTTGATCCTTAAAGAGTAGTCCCCTGCCGTATGATACAGCAATTCTATTTCTGGGTATACACCCAAAAGTATTTACAGAAGGGACTTGAACAGATATTTGTACACCCATGTTCATATCAGTATTTGCAATAGCCAGAAGGTGGAAGTAGCTGAAGTGTCTGTCCATCAGTAGATGAATGGATGAACAAACTGGGGCTGTATGTGTGTGTTTATACATATATATGAACATGGATATACACATAATGGAATATACACACACACACAATGGAATATTATTCATCCTTAAAAAGGAAGGAAATTCTGACACATGCTACAACATGGATGAACATTGAAGACATTATGCTAAGTTCAATAAGCCAATCACAAAAAGGACAGATATTGTATGATTCCTTATATGAGGTTCCTAGAGTAGCTGGATTCATAGAGACAGAAAGTAGAATGGTGGTTGCCAGGGCCTAGGAGGGAGCTGGGAAATGAGTTAGTATTTAATGGGTACAGAGTTTCAGTTTGTGAAAATTTAAAAGTTCTGAAGATGTGTGGTGCTTATGGTAGCACAACAATGTGAGTTTACTTAACACTACAGACTGTACACTTAAAAATGATTAAAATAGTAAATTTTGTGTTGTGTATTTTACCTCAATAAAAATAAAAAGTTGTCGGGTGGAGCGGAGGTTCAGGGCCATCTATCTTGAAGCTAAAACAGGCTCAGAGAAGCTGGCAGCCCATCAGCTTTCTTTCCTCCTCTCTCCCCTGTCTAGAATGTCTAGAATGGAACTGTTTCCATTTAACTAGCTGGGCCCCGAGAAGGTGGAAAGCAAATCCTACTTACATTAGCAGGAAGTGGGATGCCTGGTGGTCCACTTGGGGATGGTTCTGATGCCGCCCTGGCTTCCTGGCTCCTCTCTGAAGAATGCTCTGCCCTTTCACAGGATGCTCACGAATTATTCCATGTCATTACCTCATCATTGGAAGATGAGCGGGACCGCCAGCCCCGGGTGACACATTTGTTTGATGTGCATTCCCTGGAGGTAAACTATTAATATTTCGAATACATTCAGTGCATTTGTGCATATTTAATAGGTATAGGGACCACAAGTATAATATTTGTACAACTTTAAACTCACAAGTAAGATTCAGTAACAATCAGCAGTGGGGGCGGGGCTGAGGGAGGTTCTTAAACTGCATCCTTTGCTGACGGTGACTTGAAAGGCTCTTTCAAATGATTCACTGCAATTTGTGTTGGCTTGGAGAAGAAAGAATCTATTTTCTCCCATTTAATACAGGGGAACAAGGAGCCATGGAAATGCGAAATGAATCCTCATTTCCCTGGAACATTATAAAAGTTAACTAGTAAAGGGGGGTGGGAAATATTCTGGAAAGAAGAAATGTGTTTTGATTGCATTTGATGAAAAAATAGGCACGGTAACCAACCAGGGAAGATGGTTAAGATTGCTTTTAGAAACCTCTGTTAACAGTGAATTTTTAGTGGTGCAATCAGAAATTTATAAGATTTAGGAGCGGGGCGAGGGTGTTGAGAGGCTTGTGGTAGATTTTCAGTCTGTTTCTTTTCTTTCCCCTACAGCAGCAGTCAGAAATAACTCCCAAACAAATAACCTGCCGCACAAGAGGTAGTCATTTTCCATTGAACCGTAAATGGGTACTTTTTAGATGCAACAATAATATGCTTTCTTAAAAAAATTTTTTTTTCTGGTGACATCCAGTTCGAACTCTGTACTCGCAAAGGAACTGAGTTTTGGACACAGCTTCTTTAAATTGTTCCCTCGGTGAATATCTTGAATTGTTCCCTCACAGCCTTGCCCTGCTTGGTTTCCTCCAAACGGATGTATTTCTACTTCAAACAAGGGTTTTCTTTTTACCTTCGTGAAGTGATCTTGTGAGGAACTTAAGCTGAAACCGTCATGTCCTCAATGTTTCCACTTTGGCCAGCTTTTACTGCAAATGATCACAGTCCTCCTAAGAAGGAAATGATTTTTTTCTTAAGATTTAAACTTAAGAAAAAAAAAAAAGACATCAATTCCTTTGTGTATTAGTGATAATAAGGAGATTATCTTTTAAGCCCATACTGTGTGCCAGTCACCATAATATCTCATTTAAGCCTCACAACAGCTCTATGAAGTAGATGATACTAGGGATAATGGGACAGATATCCCCATTTCCATCAAACTAAAGTTAAGTGACTTCCCAAGTCACATAACTAATAAGAAGCAAGGCTGGAACAAAGCCCAGGGCTGCCTGACTCTAGGGCATGTGCTTCTAATTAGCATATCACACTGTTTATTACACTAACCCCCATCCAAAAAAAAAAAGTTTTCAGACCTTCCTTATTCTGATGATTTCAGAAGTTTATTCCACTTTATGGAATGTTCACTTATGGTATCCTTTTTTTGATATCTCAAACATTTTAAGCATATGTTTGTAAAAAGACATTACTAAATACGATTTTTAAAAAAAATGTGGTTGGTCTACAGCCATACTACCCTGAACAAGCCCAATCCCATCTAATCTCGGAAACTAAGCAGGGTCTGGCCTGGTTAGTACTTGAATGGGAGACCACCTAGGAAGACCAGGTGCTGTAGGCATAAAAAACAAAAAAAATAAGGGATTGTAAACTGACAAGATCTTTGCAATCTGCAAGATCAACCAAGGGTTGCCTCACCTCAAAAATAATAAATTAAAAATAAAATTTAAAAAAATGTGGCTATACGCATTATATAGAAACCACATTTAACGACCTGTGTAAATTCTCCTGTGAAGGCTTATCTTTTTGATGGAAATTAATAAGAAAAGTTATTTCAATGTACTTTTCAGGAGCATTGGTATCTAAAGAGGGAGTTAACTACCACATACTAAAAAACAGAGTGAATCTTGAGGTTGGTGCCAAAGGGCTGGAGTTTGCATATCAAAAGATGCTTTGCCTTCCAGGGGCACCTCATCCTTCATCCAATCACTGGAAATCTCAGCATCCTTTTCATGGAAGACTTACTAGTAACATGGTCTGCAAACACTGTGAACACCAGGTAAATACAATACCAATATTTGTATTTTGATATGTTCTAGTGAGGTTTTCTTTTAAGATTCATGAAGGATCTAGAGAGTATGGACTGACATTGGTATATGGTATTTATGGTTGCCTGGGCTTGTACACTTAGTGGGCTGATTGCCCCCTTTGGTCAATGCTAACATGTCATCTGATCCTTAGATGGCATCTTCTGTGCCAAGAGCAGCAGACCCATTATGGATTGGCAGGAATTTGAGGCCTAAATTTGGGTCTATAGTGACAGTATACACAACAGATTCTAAGGCTATTGTTTTGTTTTTTTTGCTTTTGAGGTTTTAAAATAATTTTTTATTTGGCATAGTTGCAACATAATGCAAAAATAGAGAATTACAACTCTGACCTCAATTGATTTTAGAATATTTTCATTACCCTCTCTACCAAATCTGTTTCCATTAGTAGTTACTCCCTATTTCTCCTCCCACACTCCCAGCCTTAGACAACCACTAATCTACTTTTTGTCTATATAGATTTGCCTATTTGGGACATTTCCTATAAATGGAATCATATCATTTATGGTTCTTTGCGACTAGCTTCTTTCACTCAGTATAATGTTTTCAGGGTTCATCCATGTTTTAGCATGTATCAGGACTTCATTCCTGTTTAATGCCAAATAATATTCCATTGTATGGATAGATCCCAGTTTGTTTATCTGCTCATCAGTTGATGGCCATTTGGGTTGTTTCCACCTTTTGGCTATTATGTATAATGCTTCTGTGAATATTTATGTACAAGTTTTTGTGTGGGCGTATGTTTTCATTTCTCTTGGAATACCTAGGAATAGAATTGCTGGCTCATGGTAATTCTGTGTTTAACCTGTTAAGGAACTGCCAGACTGATTTCCAAAGTGGCTGCACCATTTTACATTCCCACCAGCAGAGAATGAGGTTTCCAACTTTTCTGTATCCTCACTAATACTTATTATTGACTTTTTAGTTTATAGCCATCCTAATGTGTGTGAAGTGGTATCTCATTGTGGTTTTAATTGTCATTACTCTTCTGACTAATGGTGTTGAATCTTTTTTAAAAAATAAGGTCCATAGATTATAATTCATATGTCTTAAATATCTTTTATAAGTTGCCCATTCATCTCTCTTATTTTTTCCTTGCATTTTATTTGTATTTTAATGCTATTGTAAGTGGAATTTAAAAATATTTTTCTAGTATATAGAAATATAGTTGCTTGTATATTAACCTTGCATCTCGATATCTTACAAAAATTCATTTATTTTGTTGTAGATTCCTTAGAATTTGCTATGTATGTAAATGTCTGTGAAAAGAAAAAATTTTACTTCTTTCTTTCCAATCGTTACGCCTTTTGTTTATTTTTCTTGCCTTATTATTTTGGCTAGGATCTCCAATACAAAGTTGTATGAATGGTAATGGGAGACAGCCTTGACTTGTTTCAAATCTTAAGAAGCAAGTATTTGGTGTTTAATAAATAAGTAGGATATTAGCTTCAGGTTTTATTATACCCCTTTTATTACACTGAGAAAGTTCTATTCCTGGTTTGCTGAGAGTTTTTTTTTTTTTTTTTCATCATGAATAGTGATTGAATTTTGTCAGGCTATTTCGGCATATATTGAGATTTTCATATTTTTCTCTTATTCTGTAACTATGGTGAATTGCAGTGATTAATTTTTCTAATGTTAAACTAGCCTTGTGTTCTGGGATAAACTCTACTTTATTGTGCTGTATTATTCTTTTTATATATTACTGGATTTGGCTTTTTAAATATTTTCCAAAAGATGTTAATGTCAGTGTTTATGAGGACTGTTGGTCTTACAGTTTTATTTGTCATGTCTTTGTTAGGTTTTGTTATAAGGATTGTATTAGTCTCATAAAATAAGCCGGGAGGAGTTTGGACTTTGGTTAATATTGGTATTGTCTCTTTCTTAAATATTTGTTAGAATTTGTTTCTTTTTCTTTCTTTAGTTCTGTTTTTGCTAAATTTCTTTTGAGACTTTGCTTTCAGGCAGATATGTATTAACTATAATGACTCTTATTGTCATGATAAATTGTCCTTTTATCTTTGGTGAGACTCCTTGTCTTGAATTCTATTTTGGGTGACTAGCTTCCATCTAACTTATGTTCTATGATGTATCTCTTTCTGTTCTCTCATTTTCGACCTATCTTTAATTTTGTATTTATAGTGTGGCTTTCGTAGACAGCATATAATTGGGTCTTGCTTTTTTATCCAGCTTGATAATCTGCCTTATAATTGATGTGTTTAGTCCATTTACATTTAATTTAATGTATTTATATGGTTGGATTTAGGTCTTTTCTTTTACCATTTGTTTTCTATTTGTCTGTTTTTGTTGCTCTGTTCCTCCTTTCCTGCATTCTTTTGTATTAATTGAATATTTTTTAGTATTTGTGTTAATTTCTGTTGGCTTTTTAGCTGTACTTTTTTACGTTTTTTTGTGTATGATGACATCGTGCAATTTTAACTTATGGTCCATTTAGAGTTAATATTATATTCTATGTAAAATACAAGAAACTTACAAAGTATAGGTCTATTACCCCATCTTTTGTGATATTTTTCTCATATATGTTATATCTACATTCATTACAAACTCCACAATGCTGTCATAATTTTTGCTTTAAAACAGTTAATGTGCGTTTAAAAGAAAGAATAAGAAAACAATTTTATATTTGCCATTTTCGGTGTTCTTCAGCTTTTGGTAGCTCTCTAGTCATTCAGATACTTTTATTTTGGTCCAGATTTTACCATTGTTATCTAGAGGAGAATTAGTTTAGCCAGGCTGCTCTGCCATGACCAACAGCAGGAACTCTTACCCTATTTTATCATCTGTTTTTTGTAATTAATAAAACATCCACATCTTTCCACATAATCATTCATTCTTCTACTGCACTATTTTTAATACAGTATTCCATTCTGTGGACATTCTGTAATTTATTCATTCCCTAGAAATTTTAAGTATTCACATTTTGCTGTTGTAAATAATGCTGGGTCAGGTACCTTTCCTCATAGTTTCTCCAAGCTGTCCTTTAGTGTCATTGTACTTCTTATGTTACAAGGTTGTTTTTCATGAAATTCGCTTCTAAGTAAGTACATAGTTTCATTATGGTAATGTTGGACATCTGAATACTAAACTGTTTAATGAGCATATATCTTTCCATCTATAAAGCTTTGAACTGAACTTAAGTTTTTTCAGGATTTTATGCAATATTTGTTTCAGAGTCCTGTTCGATTTGATACCTTTGATAGCCTTTCACTAAGTATTCCAGCTGCCACATGGGTATGTATTAATCTTTGGTTTATTTTGGGTCTGTTTCAGAGACATTTAAATTTGAAAGAGTCTTGAGGCATTTGTGTAGCTCAAGTACTATGCATTATTCTGATACATGGTTGGGTGAACCCATCTTAGTTTTAAAATGTGGTACCATGGCTCGATTTGGGGGGAGAAGAAAGTGGACATTTGTTCTCTTCCTGCAGAAAGTTTTAGCTTTTTTGAATACATACACACATACATATTAATCTCAAATTCAAAGATATCTAATATAGTGTGGAAGTCCATAATTGTCTGCAGTGTTATGTCCTCACACCCTTGAATGCATCATAGTAACAAGTCTAGGGTGCTTTGAGCTCTCCATTTGTTTAGGAAGCATCCAGTTGTGTCTGTGAAGCTTTATTGCCTGTATAAGCAAAAAATAAAGCTCTGGGGTTCACGTTGCCATCTGTTAATCATTTTAGTGTAGCTCTCCTTTTGAATTGTAATAATGACTATTTTTCTTCCTGTGCTGTAGGGTCATCCGTTGACCCTAGACCACTGCCTTCACCACTTCATCTCGTCAGAATCAGTGCGGGATGTTGTATGTGACAACTGTACAAAGGTGTGCCTTTAACCCCAAATGTCATCTCCCTCACTGGGCTTTGAGTTCAGATATTGTGCCTCTCGCACCATTATTAGCCCTGAGCTCTTCTATTTACAGAGTATCTTTTCAGCCATAGCCATTCCTACCTAACTTGGTTAGGAAATTGGCAGCCCATGAACCAGATCTCTTACCCTGATGAAAGAGATTTTATCATAGAATGTTTCATCCACAGAATGTTTAAAGTAGAAATTTGAATCCATGGTTTGAGATGGGACAAGCCCTCTCCAATTTGCTATAGTCTCCTCCATTCCTGCCTGTCTCACACCCTGCCTTACCTGTGCTACTTGCCTAACTCCCTAAGCAATTGAATTTTACCCTTTAAATTAAGAGAGACTGTGCGGAACAGAAGTTTTGAAGACACAAAACAAAATAGATTACATGCCAATGTCAGAACCTCTTCATTTCTCTGTCTCCACTGTTACTTAAGGAATAAAACAGTGAAAACCCACAAACAATTGGGCAGCTGAGTTCATTTCAGCAGGTAAAAGTCAAGGACCAATTGAATACAGGTATAACACCCAATTTGACAGGCAGCTCTGTATAGATGTCCTATTTCAAAAATTTTTGCAGAGATGTTGTTTCTCTTATTTCAGATTGAAGCCAAAGGGACATCAAATGGGGAAAATGTGGAACACCAGAGGACCACTTTTGTTAAACAGTTAAAACTAGGGAAGGTGAGCCCAAACCTCGTTGGCTTTGCTTTCAGGGATTCCCTGTGGCCCACTCCTGATACCTGGCACTTTCCGGTTTCCTTCTCACCCACAGCTCCCTCAGTGCTTGTGCATCCACCTCCAGCGGCTCAGTTGGTCCAGCCATGGCACACCCCTGAAGCGGCATGAGCATGTGCAGTTTAATGAATTCCTGATGATGGACATCTATAAGTATCACCTCCTTGGACATAAACCTGGTCAACACAGCCCTAAACTGAACAAGAAGGCAGGGCCTGCGTTGGAACTGCAGGACGGGCCAACTGCCCCCAAAACAGGTGTGTGCCCAAGGAGCTAAGGCACAGAGAAAAGGAAATTGGCATCACCACCTTCTGGAGCCCTTACACCATGAGGGCTTGTCCAGTGGTTGCTTAAATTCTTGAGAATAACAGGATTTGGGGTGAGAGGGGGGAGATTTCTTAAAAGAGATAAAAATTATGTAGTAATGAGATGTATAGTTTTAAAAACTATCATTTTGTTATAAAAAATATAGGAGGAAAAGCTTAAGATTGCTTTCTGATCTTTCGATTAAGCAATAATTGGCTCATAATATTCCAGTGAATTTCTTCTATTTTCCCCCCAATACACAGTCATCTCATTAAACTGGAAATATGGGGAGGAAATGTCCTGGCTAAAGATCACTGAACATCTTCATTGATTTGATATTTCTTGTTTACCGAGTGACTTATTTATCTAGTTCCATTACTGTCTTCATTTGAGATTACTTGTTGAATTAGGTCCCAGTGAAACCAAGGTAGCTCTTATTATTCTCAGTCTTACTGAGGAGAAAATTGAGGACTCAAGAGGTTAAATGATTGGTCCAAGGGCAAACAGCACATGGGAGAACTGGCAATAGAAGGTAGCGTTGGGCAATTTTTTTTTGAGGTATCTTAAATTATACGTTGAGTTCTTTAGGGTTATAGATGGGGAAAACCCACTGACGTTAAGGGCTCTAAGCCTAAACTCACCATTTACATGCTGCTCCCAATCAAGTCAGGACCCTCTTCCCTGCACCCCGGATTTTCCCCACTTAGCACCCCTTACCACTTTTATTCTTTTTTACATCCACCGTTGCATGGCCTGGCAGGATATCTCATTCACAGGGAGACTATTTTGCCTTTTTTCAATGGATCGCTAGATTAATGTCAGGAACAGTTGTGGTGGGTGGTGGGGAGAAGGTTTAGTCCTTGGCCCCTGTTTTAAATCAAGGACCTCTTCACCCTAGTTTCCTTCTCTCCTGGGCAGGATTGCAGGTCTGCTCATGTTCAGAGCATGGTAGCTATGGTTAAAGAGGCCAACAGTGAACTACTTGGTACTTAAATGCCCATACCTATGGCATGTGAAAGGACAAGAAATGTAAATATTTCCTTATTTTATCTATACCCATAAACATTTAACACTGTTACATGTTAGTATTCCTTAGAAGCTGCCAATTAGAGAAGAGAGACTGTTTAGATCAGTGGTTTGCAGCAGGGAGTTTTGCCCTCCAGAGGACATTGGGCAATGACTAGTGACATTTTTGGCTGTCACAACTGAGAGAGGGGTGTTACTGGCATTTAGTAGGTAGAGGCCAGGGATGCTTTTACATATCTTACAATGTACAGGACAGCCCCGAAGACAAAGAATTCTCCATCTCAAATGTCATTAGTGTCAAGGTGGAGAAATACTGGTCAAGGTCAAAATGCCAGTAAATTAGCTACTGTTTAACTGACATGGGTCTTTAGCAAACAGGACTAGGAATCTCAAAGATTCACAAAGCTGTCAAAGTGAACAGTAGACCAGAATTAAAACAGGGACAGAAAGGTAGGAAATTTTATGAATAAACAAAAAGAACACAAAAGGAAATGTTTTTTTCTTTGTAATATTATTGGGTAGTTAAATTTCAAGTAATCAAAAGCATGTTTTGTTTACCCAGAGCCACTGCTAATTTTAATTGCCTCGGGCCTTTTTCTCTTGTAGTTGTGAAACAGCCAGGGGACCCCCAAACCCAAATTTTTATGAATGGCACCTGCTCCCCATCTTTGTTGCCTACCCTGCCAACCCCGATGCCCTTCCCCTTCCCGGTTGTTCCTGACTACAGGTGAGTCACTCTTTGCAGTATTCTTCATTCATTGTAGGCTATTCCTCTTGGTTTCCAAAATAAGCTTTTCACAGAAATGAATGACAATGTAGATTTTTTTTTCCTTTCATTTTAAGGTGGAACTTCACTGTGACTCATTCCTGTTTGTTTTTGTCCAAAATGGAAATCACTTTAAAAATAAAAATTTAAAACTACATAAAATTTCAATATATACGTTATGTGTGCATATGTGTATATATGTGTGAAGGTATGTAGAAATAAAATATAAAGAAGATTTTAAATTTCTTTAAAATTTAAATACCACCTAGAGATCACCAGTTAAATCTTTAAGGTGTTCTACTTGGTAGTTGTGTGTCTGTACATATACTACCCAATATACCTATACTCATAGAATAGACATCTTACCAGTAAATGTCTGTATTTTGATGGTTGTGTAGTATCCAGTTGTATGGATATACCATTGAATCAGTCCCCTGTCAGTGAATTCTAGGATTGTTTTGTTGTTTTTGCCTATAAACTTTATTTGTAAACCACTGGTATTTGTTCCTGTTGTTCAGTTCCTCCACATACCTCTTCCGGCTGATGGCAGTTGTCGTCCATCACGGAGACATGCACTCTGGACACTTCGTGACTTACCGACGGTCCCCACCTTCGGCCAAGAACCCTCTCTCAACCAGCAACCAGTGGCTGTGGATTTCCGATGACACTGTCCGCAAGGCTAGCCTGCAGGAGGTCCTGTCCTCCAGTGCTTACCTGCTGTTCTATGAGCGTGTTCTTTCCAAGATGCAGCACCAGAGTCGGGAATACAAGTCTGAAGAATGACTCTGCCCTGGCCCCAAAGCTAGAGATGACGGCATTGTCCAAACTGTCCAGGAAAGACAAAACCAGACCGTGTGTGTGCGTGTGCGTGTGTGTGTGTGCAAGCAGCCCCACTAGAGTCCTTCAGCTTTCTGGTATGTTCCAAGAGCAGGCTCCACCTGGGAGCCAGTGGCCCCGATTCAAACCAAATCAGGCTCCCTGAACAGCTCTGCTAGTGTGCGTTAGAAGGTGTTATCCTGTTAGGAAAGCATCCATTATGTCTCGAGTGTCTTTTTAACTCACCTGATACAGGTAATTAAAGGAAATCAAACTCCAGAAGCTACCTTTTTTATATTCTAACATGTTAGGTGTTCTTGGAGGGGTGTTAACTTTGTCTAATCCTCTGATGTTTCAGCATAGATCTTTTATTTTTAATAAGCAGGCCCATAAAATTGTTGAGAATTACTGCAATTATTAAAGGCAACAATTTAGAAGAAAAAGTGCCTTTCACTTTCGACCACTTTTGTAGCATGTCCATTATGGAAAATACACATTCTCCAAGAGTCATAGAAACAATTTTGAAAAGCTCTCTTCGAAGTTTCTCAATGGATAGCAAAAGAACAGCTAAAAGATGCCTAAAGAACACCTGCCTTCCCTTTTTGTATGTCTTTTTTAGTCTTTCGATTCTTTATATATAGTAAAAGCTCATCTGCCAAATCTGCCCGTTGGAGAAATTCTTTCACTACTGTCAGTTCTAAGTGAAGCTCTTAACGGTTGCTTTTATCTTTTGTATACTGAACTAAGAGATGCAATTACAGTATATTATAAACCTGTGTGACTAGCCAGAATTGAGCAGTACGTGTGCAATACCTGTGATTCCTCGGCTCTGCAGAAAACCCTTTCTTACACAAAGATCCATTTTAAATTGACAGTTATTCGCATCTATTTATTGCCCATGCAGACCTCTTAAGGTTTACAGATGGGGCTGGGGACTGTAAAAATATAACCCTAACCTGATTTGAGAGCTGAATTTTGAAGGAAGGGCACCAACTGTGCTGCTGCAGTCTCTCTGGACCTGTTTCATTTGTAAAGTGAAGGGTTAGATTTGATGACTGTCAAAGTCCAGCCCTTTCCACAAAAAGGTGTTGAAACATGTAACTACAGCTGACACCTAGTAGTAGTGTCACTTTGTTATAGGTCCATATTCTAAATATTCATTTCCAGTAGCCTAATAGACTGTAGTGAGCATTCTCCTCCCCCTTAAGATAAGTCTCATGAATGGAGCCCAGGCCGAAGGCATTACAGGAGTATCTATATTTTAGCTAGATTTTTTTATTTAAAGAAGATACCAAATTCAAACAGACTCTTCAGAGATAAGATCTGGAATCAGACCTATCCAAAAGGTTACCTAAGATTAAGCTAAGAGCCATGCTTCCTCTGGTGGGGTGAGGTCGCAGACACTTCTAGACAATGCCTCGGTGTCAGCTAAAAGCATAAGAGGCCCAGGTCATCACTGTTCTGCCGGGGCCCAGCATGTATCCTAATCGTGAACTCACTACCAATAGAACATACTGTGAAGGTTCTCCAGGCCATGAACATCATGGTAAAAGGAGCAGCTTGAAGCTTCTGATGCATTCATTGCTGCTGTCCCTTCGTGATTCCGTTGCAGACCCTGGCTTTGATGTTGAAATGAGTGTGCCTGGTTTACCTGAGTTTGATGGAACAAATACCCAATTGTGTGACCTTAAAATGCATTGCAAAGTTGTAGCTTTGAGTAACTGCTGCTCTGCCACTACTCCTTGAAATCTGCCATTAAAGAGAGATGTTGAGCACAAAAGGGGCTTAATCCTTTGAACCCGTAAGCAGATTGTTGGTCAGAGTTCAGGGTTTGAGCCAAGGTTGTAAATGTGAATGATATCTGCAGTTTCTTACCCGATTTAAAGCTGACTTCCTCATTTTGTAAATTAGGCATTAAGCAGCAGCCAAATAATCTTATTTCTAGTTTTAAGTTATTTACCGAATAGCTTCATTTTTGCAAACACCTAAGTTAAACTAGTAGTTTATGCCATAACAACTGCTGATTTATGTACTTGCTAAAGGTACCTTTTGTATCTGCTGTGTATGATAGCAATAAAAATCATTTTGTTATGAAAAAATCAACTTGTTTGCTTTCATAATTTACTGGTTTGATATAAACATCCTCTTTCTGAATTCTGTACTGTTATGTAATAAGCCCTACACTTTGGTTAAACCTTTTCTTTCTCTGTTGGTAAAGGAAATTCCATCTCCCTCTTCTAGAAGCGAGGGAAGGAGAAAATAGAAGTACTAACTGAAAAATACTTTTACTTTTTAGTAGGCAGGATTTTACGAAATGTCAGATTGACCCGTGGAGCCAAAACCTTCTTGCGGATGGGGAGACTGTGATACCAGTGAGTGTTGGTCGGGTGGTTCATCATAAGCAAACTTCCATGGGCCAATGGAAGCCTAATCACCTTCACCCTCCGGGAGGGGTTTTTCCCTCGAGAATCCTTGTGTCGGAAAAAGAAGTCTCGGCAGGCCCCAAAGGAGACAGAGGCGATGGGGCTTCCAGGGGCCAGTTCTCTTTCATCATCTCGGTGCTCACCGATGTGGTCACAGCCATCTTTATACCTGCAGTGAGAAAGCAAGCATGTTTCACAGAACACCCTCTTCTGAAATATGCCAACATTGCAGCATTATTTTTAGTGTGAAACACTGCTCCGAGCATGCCAGGTTTCTGCAAGGGCTGCAGGGCCTTGCCTGTATCAGGTGAGCCAAGCCTGGAGCCTTTTCACTTTGTTATCCAGACCTCTGATCACATGCTTTAAAACTCAACACACCAACAGAAGCCAAAAACATTGTCTTCTAGGTCTCCTGGTTCATATATGTAAACTTTTATCATAAAATGGTTTCTTTCTACACCTAGAATAAAATCCATACTCCTTGTACAGTTTGGCCCCTGCCCACCTATACCCTCATTCACTGCTTTCAGGCAATATTGATGGGTTTTACACTCTGAAGACACTCCAAGATCCTCTGCTCTTCCTCCAGATGGCTGTGTGGCTCATGCTCTCTCCATTTAATTATCAGCTCAAACATCACCACTTCCGTGAGCCCTCCTTTAACCACAATCCCTTAAACCCAGAGTTGTCAACCATGATGATTTTCCCTCAGGGGACTAGGCGATGTCTGAGACATTTGGGTTGCTATGACTGGGGGAGGGGGCGCTACTGGCATCTAGTGAATAAAGGCCAGGGATTCTGCTCGACATCCTGCGATGCACCTTTGCCACAGAATTATCTAGCCCATTAGTAGTACTGCTGTTAAAAAACTGCCCTAAACGCAGAACCCTTCCTCCTGGTCAAGTCAGCAAGACACTTACCAACATGTAAAATGATCTTGTTCAACTGTTCATGTTAATCACCTCACTTCCCACTATGGCATGAGCTCCATGAGGATGGACTACTCATACTGTTTCATTATTAATTACATCCTTGTTGCACTAAAGAATTTATTGTACAAATGAGTAAAATACGGTGGAATCTTAAACTCTTCCTTTTGGATAAAATACAGTGCCATGGCCTATAAAAAGTAAAAAACAAGTAGAATGTCACCTGTTGATGAGCACAAAGTTGAAGGTCTGCCCAGTCACCAAAGAAACACGATCTCGGACTCGCTCTAGAACTGGGATCCAGGGCTTTGGAGACAGAGTAAGGCCTGAAAATGTATAGGTCAGCCCAGCATCGCCATACGTCGCCTGCTTCCTTGGTACACTGTGCCACTTTCCAAACACCTGCACCTTGGCCAGTGCACCTGTGCAGTGAAACATGGCAGCTCAGAAAACCAGCCAAGTGAGTGCCCTGCATACTCTCTCCTTGAGTATTCAGGACTGAAAGGGAGTAAAACAGGAATAACATTGAATGCCCTGACCGAAGACCCCTCCTCAAAAGTCACTGTGGCTTGCCCATATACGTGCATGTAAGAACAGTGATTCCTGTCCTTAGAGAAACACGGTCCTAGTCCAATTTTTTTTTTTTTAAACACCATAACTTAATTGTCTTAACTATAGCGGGAGCAAGATAAAGAGGCTGAAATGCGAGCAAGATGAAGTTAAGTTACATACAGGGTGATTTTGCCAACTGTGGGGGACTACGAGTTTAAGACTCCATGAAAGATGGGGCTGACAGCTTAGTCTGCAGGTTGGGGGTCTCCTGTGGACTTCTGTACTCCCAAGTGCACTGCCACCTTGCAGCGGTTCTCAACGTGCAGTCCCCAGACCAGCAGCAACAGCATGACCCAAAAATGCAGACACTGGACTGTGGGAACAGGTCCTAAGAAGCCAAGTTCACACAAGCAACAAAGTCCTCCAGGTGATGCTGAGACCGTGGTGCAGAATTACCTAGTTATTTGCTGTCTCTCCTACTAGACCAGTAGTTCTCAGCCCTTGCTGCATTTTGGAATCACCCAGAATCTTTCTAATACTGGTGTCCAGGCCGCGCACCTAGCTATTCTGATACAATTGATTTCAGGTAGAACTCAGCATCTTTTTTTTATCAATTTTGCCAGGTGATTATAATCAGCAGTCAGGTGGATTCCATTTAGTCATCTATCAGCTCCTGGTGGGCAGGAAATCCCGTTTTTTTCCAAGTTTGTATCCAAAGCACATAACCAGGGTCTTGGCCAACAGGAGCCCAGAGAACATGTACTGAATAAATTAACGAACACATCAGTAATTAATGGCTCCTGAGTTCCGATTTCTTTAAACATAGACTAGTTTTATTAAACAAGCCTTCAACACACACTGGCAGTCCTCTACTTACCTGTAAAATATTCCACTTCTTGCTCCAACTCTCGGAAAATCTTGTCTGCTTCAGCTTTGCCAAACAGGACTGTGTAATTGCAGTCCAGGCCTTCAGCTCGAATGTGTTGCCAGCTAAGATCTGCAAAGTCAACACCATTCCTCGGGGTTTCTGTCCTGGGCCTTTTCCTGGTGCTTTCTTCATATTCTCCCAACTCTGCTGGACCTTCTCCTGTCTGTTCTTGCTCTCTCTTTCCCAAAAGGCCCTCTAGAGCCCCCTTCACCAGGAATCTGTCCATGTTGTCTCCACAAAGCAAAGACCTAGGAGCCAGTGGCAAGACAAAGAGATGCAAAAATTTGCTCTTTGGCAAAGCGATCCCACAGCAGCATTCCTCTTAAGTTTTACACCATTGACATTTTGGTATCTTTCGTCTCACACACACAAAAAAAGTTTTATACCATGTCCTAGAATGGAAATAGAGGACGTTAAAGCTGAAAAGGTCCGTTGGGATTATCTGGTCTTGGTCTCCCACACCTCACTATGCATTAGAATCAACTGGCTAGCTTGCAAAAACCCAAATGCCTGCACTCCACCCCCACGAACCTTTTTAAAAGAAATCTGCCCTGGGAATTCGTAGGCCACAGGTAAACTTGTAAACTACAATCCAAACAAACCCTCACTTTAGGAATGGGAAAACTGACACCTGGGGAAGGGGAAGGGTTTGCTCAAAGTCACCCAGCCATGTGGCTACCTCCTTTTCACCCATACATGACCGGCCCTCCCACGCCAGTATTAAAATAGGTAGGTATAGTGATCCTCAAATGAACATGCTTATGAAGCTAAACGTAAAACAGTTAAACGTGATCATACGCATGCCGGATTCTAAAAGAAAATACAAACTGTAACACGTGCGTGGAGTCGGGGGGGCGGGGGCGGTGGCGAGGGTTCTCAAAATTTCACACAGCAGCTGCGCGGCTCCGAATTCAGCAAACACTGTAGAAAGGGCTGGCGGGAAAGAGAAGACGCACACCCGGCCCGCAGCACGACTTCCGGGTACATTCCGGCTGCAGGCTGGGAAACGTAGGCAAATCTGCAAAATGAAGCCGCGGGCGGCCTCCGGGCGCCACCTGTTGGCCTTCTGGACGCGATGCAAGTGCTACCGTGTTTGAGTGTAACTAGTATTTGCTCTTCAACTGCTGAGGATTTTTGAGCTGCATGTTCCGTGTCACTTCTCTCTGGAGATTAACCTGGCCTCCTAACAAGGAGTTGGGCCATTAGCATATTGTCGCAGGTAGGATCACGAGTTCAGCAGTCCGACTCGTGGCTTCCATTTCCATCTCCTCTACTCTAGCTGTGCGTCTCTTACAGGTCAGTTAAAGTCTCGGCTTGAATTTGCCTCATCTGTACACTGGGGACTATAAATCCTATGCCATGAGAACATCATGAGGATTAAATAAGAGGACGTTTGAGAAGGGCTTCCATGTTCCCAATAAATGTCAGGTTCTATCACTGCTCCTAATTTTGTTTACTCTCTGTTTTCCCCAATGCAATGAAAGCTCTGTGAGATTGAGGGCTTTGTTTTGAATCTTCTTAGCATACAGTTCTGCAAATTTTGATAAATGTTCAGAGTTGTGTGACCACCACCACAGTCTAGATCCAGGACAGTTCTATCACCTGACAAAATTCCCCCAAGCCCCCAACCACTGATATTTTCTGTCCCTATAGTTTTGCCTTTTCTAGAATGTCTTACAAGTGAAATCATACAATATATAGCTTTTTGTGTCTGGCCTCTTTCACTTAGCATAATGCCTTTAAGATGTATCTCTATTTGCATCAGTTGTTCCTTTTATTGCTGAGCAGTATCCATTGTGCCAGTGCCCCGCAGTTTACCTACTTACCCACCGAGGGACATTTGGGTTGTTTCCTTTGGGGCAATTACAAAGAAACACACTATATCCATTTATGTAGAAGCTTTTGTGTGAATATAGATTTTCATTCCAAGGGCGCCTGGCAAGAGTTTATTTCACTTTATACAAAACTCCTGAACTGTTTTTTCAAAGTAGATGTAAGGGCAAATTATTTTAAATGAGCTTCTCTCCTTATCCACCAAGCTCCTTATCCTTGGCACTGGGACACAATAGTAACACAAGGATAAAAAGTCCCTGCCCTCATCCAGGTTACATTTCAGAGACAGAGAGAGAAATAAATAAGGAAAGAATAAATGAGAATTTTAGATATTACTGAAGCTATAGAGTGACCAGCTAGAAAGTGGGACAGGAGGAGAAAGACTTTCAGAGTAAGGGTACAGAGCTGAGACCTGAAGCTTCCAGGCAGGGGGGCAGCGTGTGCAAGAACGTAAAGGCCACACAAGGGACAAGCTGGTCATGTCCAGGGAATGCTAAGACCCAGATTCAGTCATGCCACAGTAGTAGGGGCTTCCATCAAGAGAAGGAAGCAGCCTTACCAGCAGAATAAGAAACTGAGATTTTACTCTAAGCATATTTGGAAACGATAGGATTTTAACCTGCAGATTATCACAATGTAATTTACATTTCAAACAGACTATTGAGTAGGAAAGAGGAGACCAGCTGTGGTTGTAGCCAGGAGAGGGAGAACAGCAGCCGAATTCAGATTTTGTTTTGGAGACAGACCAAGAGGACCTGTTGATGGTTTGGATGTGGGGAGAGAAGGAGAATAATCTGGGGTGTATTGGGGTTGAGGTGTGCAGTGGTACCTTTAGGAGAACTAGTTTGAAGTTTAACCTTCACGACTTCAATTAGTCTCCCCCAAACCTTGCAGGTTAGGCTGTGTTGGACTACTCTTGCCTTACTTTGTCATCAGTAAAATAGGTTGTGAAAATTGGATGAGGTAATGTATCTGAGAGCTAAATAAATACTATTTCAATGCTAATTTCATTCCCACAACAACTCTACTGGATAGGTACTTTTATCTTCTTTTTACTGGGGAGAGATGGAGGGACTTGCCCCAAGGCAGAAGTATGATGCCTTAATATGATGAATGAAAAGGTAACTCTGCCCGCAGCAGCCCCTCCTGCACATGCGCACTAGGCTCTCCACCGCCCCTCGCCCAGCCCCCCGCCCAGCCTCCACCCCCTGCCCCCCGGTCGGAGCATGCGCGGGTGGCTTGGCGCCAATTGCGGACCGCCAGTCTGAGCGAGCCTCGCGGGTCCCCCAGCGGCGCGCGTTCGCTCTCCCCTCGGCTTCGGGATGATCGGCCAGAAGACTCTCTACTCCTTCTTCTCCCCAAGCCCCGCCAGGAAGCGACGTGCCTGCAGCCCTGAGTCGGCGGACCGGGGAACCGGCGTGGCGGCAGTAGCTGAGGAGAGCGGGGATTCGGTGGTGAGGCGCGCCGGGGTCCTCTGGTGAAGCCGGGGGCCAAGGGAAGGGAGAGGGGGGAAAGCGGCGGGCCCCGCGCGACCGAGGGGTTTCAGAAACGCGCCGCTGCCTCGGTGAGCTGGGGCGCCGCGTTCAAACTGGTCTCTACATGTTCAAAACAGCCGCCGCCGTGCCCCATCGGCGGCCATGCTGAGGGGCCAGCCAATAGGGACAAGCCTCTGGCCCAGTGGCACCTATCAGAGGCGAGAGGTCCGCCCTCTTCGGCCTGCCATCCAGTCAGAGAGAGGAGGGGCGGGACCTCGGGGGGGAGGTTTTTTGCCGCGAAAAGGCCATGTGGGGAGGCGAGTGGCGGGTCCCACGGGGCGGGGCTTCCGGATGCTGAGCCTCGCAGCAAAACGCCCCTCTGCCTGCGCGGGTTTAGTACCAAACGAGAAATTTGGGCCTTCGGCCTCCTAGTGAGGGACTAGGCTAAGGCCTGGGTTTCCAGAGTCCGGTTTTGCACCGACCTTTCGGGCTGGGCTGAAACCCACAAATGGGCGTCCTCTGTAATGAGCTTTTGGGTTGGGGGCGGAAGCTGTGGGCGCCTGGGAGAGGCTCGTTGCGGCTCGTGACCCGCCTCTGCGGGGACCACTTGCAGGCCAGCCCCGCCAAGAAGGCCCGGGCCGGGCAGGAGGAGCCTGGCGTGCCGCCCTTGTCGCCGCTGAGCCCGGAGCAGTTGGTCCGCATCCAGAGGAACAAGGCCGCGGCCCTGCTCAGACTCGCCGCGCGCAATGTGCCAGTGGGTTTCGGTGAGAGCTGGAAGAAGCACCTCAGTGGAGAGTTCGGAAAACCGTATTTTATAAAGGTAAACGTGGAGGCTGCAGGCCTTTTGTCTTCTTAGTATTGCAAGCCAAGGCCACGTTTATAGGATGTTGCTTTTGTAGTCTGTTTTCCCTCCTTGAACGTCCTTTTAATGCTAAAGAGGTTAAAATAAGGCCATGGTGTTTTGAGTCCACACATTTATATTAAAGTTTTTAAGTGACTGTAAGATTATATCATGACTTCTTTTAATCCCCTTAGTTGCTTTCCAGGAAAAGGTGGCATAGTAAAACCACAAACTTTGCAGGGCCTTTAAAAATAAATGTGGGAGGGGTTGGCAATAGGAAATCGGAGCTGCCAAGCCAATCGACTTCGACTCAGCCCAAAGTAAGGGGGAGGGAATTGAAGAGCTTGAGCGACTTTGGTGGAGAGCGCTTAGGTACTATTGTTGTTGTTTTTAAAAAGAATTTGGTTATAAAAGAGGCATAGAGCTATATAATTCTTCAGTTACCTTTCTTATTGAATTCTTATGCTTTCCAGTTAGAATCTGATTTTAAATCTAGTTTCTCTTTCAATCAGTTAATGGGATTTGTTGCAGAAGAAAGAAGACATTACACTGTTTATCCACCCCCAGACCAAGTCTTCACATGGACCCAAATGTGTGACATTAGAGATGTAAGTACAAGTTGTGGATGAATTTTAGTAAAACAGGCATGAGAATCAAATAGTATTTCTTAATTAGGGACACAGGAGTTAAACCACTGTCCATAATTCAGTAAATACTGCAATTGTGAGACTTGGTAGGCTATATTTTAGCCTATATTTACTTTTTTTTTTTTTTAACTTTTACCATGTGCTGTTTATGCAGCACAAAAGAAAACTATGTACATAGATCATGTGTCTATACGTTCTCATTTTTTATTTTATTTAATCTTGAAACCTACCCCATGCCAGTGTTAGGTTTTATTGTGGTGGTTATGAAGAAACTGAGACATGAAGCAGTTAAGTCTTTTTCATCTGGTCGTAGTCGACCCCAGCTTGATGTGTAGCTCAATATTCTGTCTGACTACACTTATTTTTTCCCCCAACAACTATTAATGGTTAGTTAAGCCATGATTCAGGATCCCAAGTGGGATATACCCAGGTCCCCCTTCACCTCCCTTGGAGAAGGATGGAAGACAGAGAAGAGGCCGGGTGAAACCAGTTCAGATCTTCCTAGGAAACATGCCTTCTGTCCTACAGTTGTCCCAGGCTGATACCCAGGATATGGGCAGAAGGATTTGTACATATGTTGGTACCATTTGCACATGGAGACACCACCTCCTTTACCATTCTTTGCCTTCTCATAGCAATGAAAGTCCAGGTATTTCTGCCAACAGTTCCTGGTATGGTTCTGGGTGGGGTAGGAGCTGTCAAACGGGGTAGTCTGATAGTTCTTGATTTTGGTCTTGATGTCTTCTACTATATTGAATCCTAAAAACGCCCCTGAAGCAGCTTGCAGCTCAGTCACACTGTCTTTTATAGTTGACACTTTCAAGCTCTGAACTTCTGACCTAAACAATTTTGCTATCCTGTTAATAAATCCCTTTGCTTTGGTTCATTGCATACAATGGCTGCTGCCTAGTGGCTCTTGTTGTCAGTCTCCTGTCCAGAAGCTTGTCTCTGGCTTCCCACTGTCTGAATGCTGAAAGCTGAACATGAGTGTGGCCATAGTCTACTTGTCAGCCTTACTTCCACCTCCCATTCTTTTCAGAGTGGGACAGTGTGGCAGCCCTCTCCTCACTTGTCTATTGAAAACCAATTAGATTCATCTATGGCACCTCATTGAATGAACCCTGTTCCCCACCACCTTTGTGTTGTAATCTGGTTTTCCTCTAAACCCCTCCAATTGGTTAGTATCTGCTTACACTGGAGGTTTTACATTTTGTTCTTTTCCCTCCCATTTGTAAGCTGAAGCAGGTATCCTGCTATTAATAAATACCTGTTAAATGGAAGTGAAATAGGTGAATAAGCCATCTCGATAAGGCTGCTACACCCAGTACTTAGCAAACTTAACAATTTTCAGTTTAGAGCAAGGACTTTGAATATAGCTCCTTGTTTTCGAAGTTTTTAACTTCAAAATTGAGTACTATTTTGTGCCTTATTTGAATAGTATTCCCTGTTTGGAATACCAATGATTGATATTAATAGGGACGAATAAGAAAACAGCATGAAACTTGTGAAAATCAGATGGCTCGTGGGCTTCTTTGCAGATGAGCATATGGAGGGTCTGGGAGGTTATTTGTCTCCTTCAAGGTCATCCCTTAACCAAGCCCAGAACTGCAAGGCTTCCCTGCTAAGACAAGTTGCTTCTTGATGAATATGCTGGGAACAGTGTGAGCACCAACAGTAGTAACAGAGAGGTCCACAAAAGCTTCCTGATAATGAAAACTTTTAAAGCTGAATTTTGAAAGATAAAGGTATATGTCCAGGTTATGGAAGAAGATTCTAAGAAAGAATACCATGAGAATGAAGAGGTGGATGGTCTCCAGATCAAAAGGACTAGCTGTATTTTAATACCACCCTTGACAGTGACTTAATTACTTTTCATTGCATCTTGCCACCTACTCCCATGGCTCTTTGACCTGACCTCATTTACTTGTGGGTTTGTTCCTTAGAGGAATAAGGGAAGAAGCACCTTCATATTGCTGCTGGTGAGAATTTTTAATTGCCTCAACTCATTGAAAAGCAATTTGGCATATGTCTATGAAAATTTCAAATACACTTATCTTTTGACCTGCAACTCCACTATTGTAACTTCCAAAGAAGTAAAAGCAACCATATATAAGGATATATGTACTCAGATGTTGATTGGGTTCTGTTTTGTACTGGAAAAAAATTAGGTAACAAGCTGACTGCCCTTCAGTGATTGAGCTCTTTGTTGAATTGAAGGATGCCCAAAATGTGTGATGTGAGAAGCACAAAAATGTAGGGTAATGAGTACAATAACCCCAGTTCTATAGATAATTAAAAATGGTTGAATCAGTATGGGATAGGAATGGCTAGGAGATGACTAACTACTTTATATGTTTCTGGATGGTAGTACTTGTTTCAAGGGTGTATTTACTTTCATTATTTGAAAAATGAAGGGGATGAAAACAGAGTTGACCCCCAACTTGTTTCAAATACCTGCGCCAGAAGGGAGAGGGCAGTGTGGCAGGGGGATTGAGTGAAGGATGATTTGGTAATGGAAAGTAAAGGTGCTAGGTCGCCTACTTTATTCTGGGGGTTCTTAATTGCGCCAGGAGGGTAGCTGCCCCCTCGTAGTGTCCCTTTGCATAGGTCATCAGTCAGCCAGGTGTTTGTTTAAACTCTATACTACAGTGTTTAATTTCTTGCCACCTGGTGTTCACAGGTGAAAGTTGTCATCTTGGGACAGGATCCATATCATGGACCCAATCAAGCTCATGGGCTCTGCTTTAGTGTTCAAAGACCTGTCCCACCTCCACCCAGGTACGATTGCTTTATAGATGGCTCACGTATATAATCGCAATTACTCTCGGGTGTGTACTTTGCAAATTGCAGGTATGCCTATTTGGCGGACTTTTGCTAGCCTTTGGAGCAGGGTTTCTCAATCTAGTTGGTATTTGGGGGCTGGGTCTTTGCGATGGAGAAGATTGGTCTTGTACACTGTAGGATGTTTAGCAGCACTGCCCCTCTCCCCAGAACCAGAGTTCAAACAAAATGGCAATGAAAAATGTCTTCAGTCATTGCTACAAGTCTCCTGTGGGACAAAAATAACCATCAATTGGAGAGGGGCGTTATAACTCCAAGACTGATTTACTTACATCTTCCAAAATGCTGTTCCTTAAATCCAAGCACAGACGAAAATAAAGTGTTACCTGTCAGAAGGAAAGGTGGTGTTTCCTCATGAATCACTGCAATTTGTTGCATTGTTCCCTCCAGGGACTGCTTTACGCATTATAATTCACATGTATATTGGAGGTTACTGAATTTTGGGAATTGTCTTAAGATTCTGTTTTTTTTTTTCTTCCTGCTTGCTTTCAGTTTGGAAAACATTTATAAAGAGCTGTCTACAGACATAGATGGTTTTGTTCATCCTGGTCATGGAGATTTATCTGGATGGGCCAAGCAAGGTAAACCAACCACTGCTCAGTATGTCTCGGACAGATTTCAACAGTCCTCTTTTCTGTCCACTTGTTTCTGTTTGTAAAAGATAGTCATGAAGGACAAGAGGGCTAATAAAATGGCTAAACTTATGTAAGTGAGAAAAAATATCTTCATTCTATCCTGTAGCCAGTCTTTCATGTTTCAACCATAATTTGAAAGAGAAAAGTGTGTTCCTCGTTATTCATATTTTACGTTTATCCATTTAACTTTGACAAATCAGAAGGTGGCCTCACTTTTGTCATTTCATTGTAGGTTGTGTTGTATGTGTTTAATACCTATCTCAGGACTTTTTTCTTTTTTAACATTATTACTGGGACAAGGAAAGAATATTTACTCTTTGGTTTCTTGCAGTTAGAGTTTTGTTTGGATGAAACACTTTGGCCTCCTTTTGTTATTTTCTGGGGTTATTTAATAGCACTTAGGATATTTTTTTAAAATAATTCTTTCTGATGAGGGATATATAATGTTTACTGTTGCCAACTCGGAAGATGTTGAAAGTGCGGAGGTGAAAGTTTGAATGCCCAGAGGTACCCAGCAGTCTGCTGTAACACTTTGTCTATGACCAAATTTCAGACAGTTGTTCTGGATTCCGTCAGGAGAATGGTTTCATGTGATTATTCCTTGTCGTTGGGTGTTGGGCTGACTCATTTCATCCTGCCTTTAACCTGTTTCCTTGGTGTGTGTTCACAGGTGTTCTCCTACTCAACGCTGTCCTCACAGTCCGGGCTCATCAGGCCAATTCTCATAAAGAGAGAGGTTGGGAGCAATTTACCGATGCGGTTGTGTCCTGGCTAAATCAGAATTCACATGGCCTTGTCTTCTTGCTCTGGGGTTCCTATGCTCAGAAGAAGGGCAGTGCCATCGATAGGGTATGTTGTTTTTAACAGTTTAAACCAGGTTAGAGACTTCTAGGAATCCTTGCGGTGTGGTCCTGGAAAATTCATGTCATAAAAATGAAACTTATTTTCCCTTAAGACTGTTATAATTATGGTTGGGTTTCCCACTGAAAATAACACAATTTAGTCGAATTATAGGAATGTTTAGCAGTGTATGAGGAAAGCAACTGGCCAACTTATGATTTAATAGCAATACAGAAATGTACTTGCCATATACTCAGATACATTGGTTCCTGAATACCATTCACTTAACAAATGATGTAGTAAGTGAAGAATGAGGTAAGTTTCTTCCAAGAAGTTTGAGAGTATATAGAAAACACAAAGTAATCCACTTAATCACAAATTTAACTTCCCCCATGAAAATACTGTTGGTGATAATCATTAAACCTGAGCTCTGATTGCCAATACCCAGCACCACCAAACCAGTTTTTTAATCACTGCCTTTTCTGTGTTTTCCCCCAACTTGTTCCTTTTCCATTCACCTACCAAAGTGCTTATGTTTCTGGTTGCTGACATTAACAACCAGAAGTCCTCCTCAAATGTTTCCCTCATCCCCTCAAATGCAGTCCATTAGGGAATCCTGTCAGCTCTGCCTCCTAAAGACATCCCAATTTTACTAATTCTCCCAGTTGACACTACTGCCACTTTGGGTAAGCCACCGTCATTTCTCTTCAGGATAACTGACAGACTGGGGATGATGGTAGTTTGATGGAGAATGCAGAGGGGAGATGGCAGTGGGGGTGAGAGAGAGGAGTCAAGAACAAGTATTTAGTTTGGGCAACTGGGAGAGAGAATTAGGAAGTGTGGATGGGGAAGAAATTAGAAACACTTTATTTAATAAGTGAAGTTAAGAGATTAACTGAGGTAACCCAATAATATTTTCTGGTGTATCAGAAATGTCCAAATATATTGATCCCCTACCCTCTGTTAGGTACCAAGTCAAACACTTTTAATGCAGAATCTTAATACTCTGGGAAGGGCTATGCACGTAGGCGTACACTGACCCAATTTTGTACTGGGGCTCAGAGACAGAGTCACTTGCACAAAGTTGGCTGAATGACAGCCAAGATGAGACCTGCTCTGGAGCTTCAGACTTCCTAAGCAGCTCGCTCATCTTGGTGGGTGTTTTTGAGCGTGAACTCTGTGAAGTTCACAGGTGAGTATGTTAGGATTGGAAATCAGTGATTGAGTTCAAGTTTATTGACTTTGCTCACATGCCAACTATCACCTCCATTTTTCTTAAATTGAGTTTTGTCTTTATTTTGTAATTTAGATTTTTTAAAGGTAGATTCACGTAATTTAAAAGAAAGGATGTTAAGATATATGGTGAGAAGTCTCCCATCCAAGTCCCCATCTGTTCATTTTCCTCCTGGGCTTGCATCAGCAGTGGCTTTTAGTTTCTGCCATCTTCCTGTGACTTTTTATGCATGTATAAGCAAATAGCAATTGTGTATAGTCAGATTATAAAGCTTTCCCTATAAAATTTCTATATAAATGAACAAGAGGTTTTCAGATATTCTTTTACGGAAGGGAAGTGTAGGAATAAAATCTGGCACAAATGAACTAAGTGCTAAGATATGGTTATCTAGTAATTTACAATCTCTGTCTTAGGGAGGTTTGTGGTCTGTATAGCTCTTACTCAGTATATTTGTAATCTTTATTATTGTTAAGCATGGTTTGGTTTGAAAGTTAAACAGTTATTATAGTTGCTCAATCATTAAAACCAAATCACATATCCAACCCAGTATCTTTCCTGAACAGTAGATATACTCAGCTGCCTACTTACTAGTGATCCAAAGCACATCAAATTTAATATTTCCAAGCAAAATTCTCCTTTCCTCATCCATCCCTCACTAACCTTGCTTCTCTGTACTACCCAAGGATAAAAAGTACTATCTACTTTTTATGGTTGGA